TTTACATGTATCATTTGATCCCGCATGATACTTTGAGGTAAGAGTTATTTCCCTCATTTTATAAATGAGAAAACTGAGGCCAAGAGAGATTTAAGTGATTTGTCCAGAATCACTGCTAGTTACAGGTTTGAGGCAGGATTTGAACTCATGTCTCTCCCTCCCTAAATTCAGCATTCTACCCACCATGCTGCCTAGCTTTCTGGTAGAATGAATATGTGAATTAGGAATTTTTTTTCAACTTTGTTCTAAAATACTTTTCACACTCCTCTCAGACATACATAGGGTCAAATAATTTTAGAACTCAAAGGAATATCAGAAATTATCTAGGTCAACCCCACCCCCATTTTACAAATGGAGAAACCAAGGCCAAAAGGATAATAAATCAAAATACCATACTTCTTTCAAGGTCCAGGCCAAGACTTACCACCTCCATGAAAACTTCCTTCATAAAAGTCACCTGACAATACTCTTTCCTATTTTAAATTCTTCAAACCTTGAATATATTATCTGTCACTCTATCAAGGATTTCTTTATATGTTGCCTAGGAATTACTTTCTAGATCCTTCATGACATGTCTTAATTCCAATTAGACTGTAAACTATTCATAGGACTTTTTCCTTGCCTTTCTTCCTCGTATCACTGGTAACAAGAGTAGGTGGTTCATAAATGTTTGCTAAATTAAATGAACCTGTCACTAAGAGAAAACATGGCATTATGGACTAAGCAATCAATAAAATGTATCAGAATTTTCATCTCAATTCTGTTTCCATATCTACAAAACAAATACTCATTTGGATACAGGAACTGTGTGATGAGAATGATTAAAACTGCATTAATACGAAAGAAATATTTAAATTTAAAGCCTGATCTACATCCAGAGAGTGATAATGTGTTTTTGGCTGCTTATCTTCTCCCTGGCTGTAGGCAGCCACCTGCAGGAAGTTAATAAACCTATGCAATCTAGGGCGGTCCCCTGGCACTGAAATCACCTGCAGCAACTTTCAGGTATCAGATGTGCTACAGGAGTTCAACTATGTACGTCAGCTGACTGACTATAGCCCAATTTGAAACATGCTTCCTGGAATTTTTATTTTCAGTACTTCAGATTTAAAAATTTTTTAAATTTAAATCAATAGAAAATATTTTCACTTCCAAATCATTATAATATAATGATTATATTGTAAACCAATAATTCTCTTTTTATTTTGATTCTGTATATACTTATATATGTACAATACAGTTTGCAGGAAGTTTCAAGGGTTTCACAGAATCTCAGAGCTAGCAGAAGTCGTATAGATTGACCTTTACCCGAACAAGATTCCTTCTATGGTCTACCAAACAAGGGTTCAGATGGCACTTGCTTAAAGACCTCTAGCAAAGGGAAATCTCTAGACTTTTCCAAACTTCTCCATCCACCCCATCCCTGGATTTTCAGCCTCCTTTTGTGCATTGTCTTCTTACTCCTTGGGAGAAGGGACTATCTCTTACATATCTGTATCCCCATCACTTAGCACAGTGCATGGTACATAGTAGGCATTTAATAAACTTCTGTTGACTAACTGAATGACTACTTTCAGAGGCAGCCAATATTACCCTTGTGGATAGCTCTAACATTCAGGAATTTCTCCCCAACAGCAAGCAAATTATTTGCCTCTTTCCAACTTTCACCCAGTGTCCCTACTTTTTCATTCTGGGACCAGGTGGAACATGTTTTTCTTTTACTGATGCAAATTTTAAAAATAGGTAGACAGAGAGATAGACAAACAGATAGAGACAGACAGATAATTAGATAGACAGACAGACAGACAGACAGACAGACAGATAGATAGATAGATAGATGGATGGATGGATAGGTGAAAAAGATCAACACATCATGATAAAGCACCAAAGTGGGTCTTCTGTGGAGAATTTTTGTGCAAGCATATATAATACATTTTAAAATATATATCACAAATTGGCAGTTATTTTGGTAAATTTATAAAGAAAAAGATCTATACTATAACGTATAACAGAACGGATATACTGATAATTAAAAACAGATTTTAATGGAGATTGGACTCTCAGTATGAAAGACATTTAGTAGATGTAGCAGCAACTTAGTAAGTGTTAATTGGAAGTTTAAGTGACAGTTGATTACAAAAACAATAATAACAATAATCACTATCATTATATTATGTAACTATAATAATATAATGCTTTAAGGTATATAAAGCATTTAACTTATGATCTGATTTGGTCCTCATAATGGCCCCGCCAATTAGAGGCTGACAATCTAATCTGGAGGCTATATGTAAACAAATACGTGGTAGAAGGTAATAGGAATAAAAAAGAAATCCAAACAATGTATACTAAGAGCATTTGAGTAAGGAGAAAACTTTTAGTTGTAGAGGTCAGGGAAGATTTCACAGATGAAATGGAAGTTGAGCTGGTTCTTAAAGAAGGATTTTGCCAGGTACATATGTGAAAGAACTCTGCTCAAGGCCAGAAGAAGGCCCACAGGAATGATCAGAGGCAGGGTAGTTTAGGACATGACTGGGGAAGTTAATAATCTAGTTAGGGTCAGAACTGAGTCTAGGTTTTGTAATATAATGGCAATTGCTGCCACGTCATTCCCCTGTGACACACAGGGGTAGCATAACTGGGCATAATTAAGGATGAAGAAGTGCCTACTGAGTCTGGTAAATTTAATTAAGCTAGCCAATTTTGTGCTTTTGATAGTCTGGATGGTTCAAAAAGCAAGAAAACTCTGGTCTTGACATGCCTTTGTATCTTTTTCCCAATTTATTCACCCATGGAGAAAGAGCTGTGCAACAGAGCACATCAATGGGTGTCATTTCAACAGGTGTCTGGGGTGTTGTGTTGGGAATTAGTATCATTTATGAGTCTGTTATGACTTTCAGGGATAACTTCCCTTGCATTTCTGGCATAATGCTAATGCTGATGCTGAAACTGCCTCCATCACCCTAAGGGCATGTGTTTTTAAGTTCAGATATAAAACAACAATTACATAGGAGAGACTAGAACATTAGGGAGAGATGGAGACCAGATAGGTTGATTTAGGAGTCATCTATGAAGAGATCATAGGATAAGTCATGGTTGCAGACATGCTAGATGAGAGTGTATAGATATACAGAAAAGAGGGAAGGGCAGAGCCTGGCAGGACATCCACTCTTAAGAGGTGGGTAGAGGGAAATTCACCCGCCAAGGAGGCAGAGGAGTGTTCAGACAATCAATCATTAAACATTTATTAAGCACCAACTATGTGCCAGACACTGTGTTTAGTCCTGGGGATACAAAAAGAGGCAAAAGACAGTCCCTGTCCTTAAGAAGCTTACAATCTAATAAGGGAGACAACATGCAAACAAATATATACAAATTAATCTATAGACAGGATAAATAGGATGTAAATAATAAAGGGACGACACTGGAAGTAAGAACCGTGAGGGAAGGTTTCCTGTAGAAGGTGGAATTTTGCAGCTAGGTGGCACAGTGGATAGAGCACCTGCCCTGAAGTCAGGAGGACCTGAGTTCAAATCTGGCCTCAGACCAAACACTTGACACTTACTAGCTGTGTGACCCTGGGCAAGTTACTTAACCCCAGTTGCCAAAAAAAAAAAAAGGTAGGATTTTAACTTGGACTTAAAGGAGAGGTCAGCAGTTGGAGCAGAGGAGGAAGAGCATTCCAGGCATGGGAAATAGCCAGAGAGTGCTTAGAGATGGAGTGTCTTGTTCATGGAACAACCAGGAGGCCAATGTCACTAGATCACAGAGTACATGGCCAGGGAGTAAGATATAAGAAGACTAGACAAGCAAGAGGGGGAAAAGTAGGTCATGAAGGGCTTTGAATTTGTATTTGATCCTGGAAGCAATAGAGAGTCTCTAGAGTTCATTGAGTAGAAGGGTGACATGATCACAGCTGGAAAATACTTTAGCGGCTGAATGGAGGACAGATGGAGTAGGGAGAGAATTGAAGCAGGTAGATCCACCAGAGGGCTTTTGTAATAGTCCTGGTTGGAGGTGATGAGGGCTTTCACTGGTGGTGGCAGTGTCAGAGGAGAGAAAGGGACATGTTCAAGAGATGCTGCAAAAGTGAAATTGGTAATCCTTGGCAACAGCTTGGATATGGGGGGACACAAGTAAGAAGAGAAACAGAAAAAAAGTAAAAGCAGTAAAAGCCAAAGGGAAAGTCAAAAAGAAGTTAACTGTCAAATGCAGAAAGATCAAAGGGGCTGAAGACTGAGACAATGAATGAAATGAAAAGGTCACTTTTCATGACCTTAGAAAGGACATTTCTAATAGCATGACCAGTACAGAAGTCAGAGTGCATTGTCTCAAGGAGTGGATGGGTGATGAGTGAACTGGTGGAAGCACTCTTGCAAGATGGCAGTAATAGTAAAAGGGAAGAAAGATATAATGGCAGTCCCATAAAGGGACAGTCGCGGGAAGTTGTTTTAATTGTTTCTGTTCTTAGCACAGAAGAAACATCAGTCTGTTTACAGGCAAAGGTGAAGGAGCCAGTACAAATGGAGCAAGGTCTCAGAGGGGATGGAATATGTATCAAATTTGTATTATGCTTCATAGAAACAGAAAATACGGGATTTTCTTGACTAATGTTAAAATACTCGAATATTTATGTATGGGGCATAGAAGGCTGGTCTCAGAGTTAAGAAGCCCTGAGTTCAAGCCTCACCTCCAACCACACTGGCTATGTCATCTTTACCAAGTCTTTTAGCCTTGCTGTGTATCCAGACAACTCTCTAAGATATTAGGACAAAGAGAGTGCATTGGCTGCAGATAAGCTAAAGAAATCATAGGTCTGTTTAAAAAAAAAAAACCCTACATATCTATGAAATAACCTCATATTCACAATCAATATTCAGGATGGAAAGTGATTTTGCCCAATTCCTTCCCTACAGATTGGTCTTTACACTTTAGTCTCAAACAACACTTTATCCACCTAAAGATTTCAAGTTTAAATAGCATTTCATTGTAGCACATACATATTTGTCCTCTGATCCACAGGCTATGTATCGCCCACAAGGGCTTACAGAAATTGCACAGGGATGGCAGCGGTTAAGATGTCCTTCAAAACGGCGTTCACACCTATGAAGAGAAACAGAAACACTGAAAATAATGTTCATAATAAAGTTTGATGATTTAAATTTAATAATAAAATTATAAAGTTTAATAAAGTTATGATTAAAGAAAGAAACTAAGCATCTATTTTCCATTTCTACAGAGAAAGAAGAACTTTGTGACAATAAGGATGATTAAGAGTATGTTACCTTAAAGATTTTTTTAAAATAAGATAAGTAGTTTTCTGGCAGCTAGGTGGTGCAGTAGATAAGAGTATTAGACCTGGATTCAGGAAGACTCATCTTCCTGAGTTCAAATCTGACCTCAGACATTTGCTAGCTATGTGACCCTGGGCAAGTTACTTAACCCTGTTTGCCTTAGTTCCTCTTCTGTAAAATGAATTGGCAAAGGAAATAACAAACCACTACATTATCTTTGCCATGAAAGCCCCAAATGGAGTCACATTCAGATATGACTGAAACAAATGAACAACAACAAAATAATTGTCTATCTTGAATAAGTGGTAAGTGATTTACAAGCTTTTTGGACTGCTACATTTAAATGAAATATGAAATATCATTAGTTTCATTTCACAACCCTATTCACTGAAGTATTGCATAGCATTTATTTATTTATTTATTTAAAGCATTCTAGTGAAATCAATTTAACTTTGTTCTCGAAACTTCTAGAGATTCTTGGGATAACGGTAAGTACAATAGGAAATCTTTTAAAAATTGGGATGAAAATGACTCATTAGGCAATGGATGTAATGACCTGTTAGGGTCCTTTTCAATCAATGAATTAATCAACTACTTTCTGAAGGCTTACTATGAAGTTAATACTCTGCTGAGTACATTACCACAGGGGATATTTAAGATGCACAAGACAAGAACTTTGACCTCAAGTTTCCCTGACTTGTATTTAACCATGACAATTTAACCAAGCTTGACTTATCTACTACCTAGACAGCTAAATTGAATGGTGGATACAGCATTGGAACTGGAGTCAGAAAGATGAGTTCAAATCCTGCCTCTCAGACACTCGCTAGCTCTGTTTGCCCCTGGGCAAGTCATTTAACCTCTGTCTGCCTCAGTTTTGTCATCTACAAAATGGGAATAATAATAGCACCTACCTCCCAACATTGTTGTGAAGATAAAATAATAAACATATAGCTCTCTGCAAACTTTAAAGTGCCGTATAAATGTTGGCTATCATTATTATTAATTATTATGTGACTAGGGGGAAATAAAAGGAATAAGAATTTATCAATTGCTTTATAAATATCTCACAATCATCTGTGAGGTAGATGCCAAAACTATGATTACTGCAGAGGAATTTTTACATATTAATTAAGGTTTTTGAAAGGAAACCCAGCAACTTTCAATAGACTATAAACACTGAGCTAGTCAATTAGTGCCAGGCATTCAAATACCTAAACATCTAATTCAATAAAGCCCTTTCAAGGAAATTGCACACCAAAACATACTGGTCACAGTCACTAAAAACATAGGAATCGTATTGTAATTCTTTTGTACATAATAGCCATCTGCTGAATTCTGTTAAAATACTAGAACTCCTGAGAGAATAGATGTATGAGAACAAGGCTAATAGCACAGACAGCAAACATGAGAAACTTACAAAGCAGTTGCCCCCTAGCATACCTGACAGCTCTAATATTGGCAGAGTTTGGATTTCCCTCAATTACAATTCATGAGGCCATTTAAGAAACTGAAATTTTTCTCTATTCTCTCAAAGACATGCTGTATCCAGTTACAAAACTGTGAGGAATAAGTTCACAAAAATCATGGACTACTCCAACTCCCTTCCACCCTTAAGAACTCATTGGTCATTAAACTGACCATATGCTTCTCCAGCTTGATGTATTATCTATATCGCCATGGCAGGCCAGGACCTTTAGACAGTCATGGTATACTGAGTCAGGTACAAAGAGCAGAAGCATCATGGACATAGGATTTCTCAAAAGGTTATTTAGTCTCTCCATAAAGTTGACACAATCTTCAGATGGGAAAATGTCTCAAGAATTGCTGAGCTCCAGGGACTTCTAGAGCTTGTGGCATACTAATGGTGTTTGTGCCCTACTTCACCCTGGCTACAACATGTGACCAAAGAATCATGCCTGAGAATGATCATCTTACTACCAAAAAAAAAGAGGCTTACCTTGTCCCAATCTTGATCTGCTTGGACCATCAGTGGCTATGACACATACTTCAAATGTCATAATCGGGAACATATTTCAGCCTGATTCAAAAGTCATCTAGCTGCAATCCAGTGTCTACTCCTCAAAAAATCTCAAACTACATCTTAGATCTACAACTGGAAGGTACCTATCACAGAAGCCAAACCACTCATTTTATATAGAGGAACTAAGTGATTTGAGGGAAGTCATATAGGAAGTAAGAGGCAGGACCAGGATTCAGATGCCAGCTACGTGATTCCAAGTTCATCACTATTTTCCCTTTGTTGAACTGCAAATTAGACCCTATGCAAAATAGAGCTTTTAACCATGGAGGCCTACATTCTAAACTTGGCAGCATTCCCTGCAGGGAGCCAGTGATCTCATCACAATAGAAAGAGCACCAGAAGGTAGTGAGTGCATCCCCAGATAATTTACCAACATGACAAATACCAGATCCATTGGCCGTTGTAATTTCACCAGTTATACTTCGATGTAAGTTGGTCTCAAAGCTCAGAATAACTTAGCCAATGTTCTCTCACACAAGTATGAATATCTGGTCCTACTTAAAGCAGCCAAATCCTTGAAGACTATTGAGTTTAGAGTGGATCTCATGGATCTGCCCTTGTTCTAATACTATTCAACATTTCCATTACTGAAATTTTAATCAAAAAGTTGTATAAAAGCATATATATGGTGGCAATTCAACATGCTGATGACACAAAGCTGAAAAGGCTACCTAGTGTACTCAGTGGCAGAGTCAAGACCCAAAGCTAGAATTATGGGCTAAATATAATTAAATAAAAATTGACTTGGACAAATGTGAAGTTCTACCCTTGGAAAAAAAATCCATTGCACAAATACCAGCTGGAGAAGGCATGTCTAGACAACATTTTGTGTGGGAAAAACTGCAAGGTCACCATATGTCATAATTGTGACATGACAGCCAAAAAAGCTAGTGCGATCCAAGGAAAAGTATTAATTAATGCTGTGCTAATTGAAACAGTGTTCAGAATGAAAGAGAAGATGGTTCTGCTGGACTCTGTCCCAGTCAGACCACATCTGGAGGACTAGGTTTAGTTTGAAGCACCACATTTTAGGAAAGAAACTGACTAGCTGAAAAACTATAGAACACAAGGATTATTTGTTAGAAGGAACATGATAGACGTCTTCAAATATTGGAAAGGCTGCCATGTGGAAGAGAGATCAGACTTGTTCTGCTTAGTTCCAGAGGGTAGAAATAGGAGAGATCACTGGAAGTTTCAGTAAGGCACAATTAGATTTGACATAAAGAAAAACTTTCTAAAAATTAGAGCTTTCAAAAAGTGTAACTAATAATCAAATCAAAAAGCATTTATTAAGTACCTACTGTGTACCAAACAATATACTTATATCCAAATATGGGGAGACTTACGTGTCCCCTCTGAACCTCATCATCATCAGAGTCTATAGAGGGAGTCTTATTAGACCAGACTTGGGAGTGGTTGAATTGTGTCTTGATGATTTTAAGGAAAGAGAGGGGAAGAGGAATACAATGGAGGGGGGATGCAGAGAAAGAAGGAAAAGGAAGAATTAGGGGAAATTGTTTCACAAACAGGATACACAAGTAGACATTTATACAGACAAAGAGAAAGAGGGTTAAGGGGAGTCACTGACACTTGAACGTCACTCTCATCTGAACTGCTCAAAAGAAAGATTACACACAGAGAAAGTTGGGTACAGAAACACATTTCACTCAGTAGGGAAATAGGAAAGCGCAGAAGGATGGAAAGAAAACTAGAGGAAGGGTAGGTTAAGGGAGAAATGAGTCCAAAGCAAAACAAATTCTGAGGATGGAAAAAAAAATTATATCTCTTTTTGAGGTGGCAAAGAATGGGAAGCTTGGGGAATGACTATAAATTAGGGCATTGATAAAGAAGTTATGGCATATAAATGTGATGGAATGTTATTTTGCTGAACTCTCACCAGCCAGAATTCCAGAGGACTAATGAAGAAAGAGGTAAAGAACTCAGTACAGAATGAGACAAAAAAAATTTTAGACACAGTCAATGTGGACATGTGTTTTGATTGACTATACATGTGTGTAATGGATTTTGTTTTTCTTGTGTTCTCATTTGGGAAGGTGGGGCTAGGGTGAGAGGGTAAGAAAATGGATCTTGGCTTATTAAAAAAAATTTTAATAATAAAGCAGGGGGCAGATAGATGGTGCAGTGGATAGAGCACCAGCCCTGGAGTCAGGAGGACCTGAGTTCAAATCCAGCCTCAGACACATAACACTTACTAAGCTGTATGACTCTGGGCAAGTCATTGCCCATACCCCCCAAAAAAATAATAAAAATAAAGCAAATTATGCCAGATCTGATGGTCAGTTGCCCCTACCCTCTTTCCTAAGGGACAGGTCAGTTTTGAATGGACTGAGGTCAACCCTTTTTATAGCAGAAAGCTGCCCCCTCAATATAAGCAGTATGACTTGCTGAAATTCACTTTCCTAGCTACAGCTAAATGAGGAAAGGGTGATGTATTTTATTGTGCCCCTCCATTCCAAATAGCTGGGAAATAACAAAATGTCAACAGTTGATTATGACATTTCTAAAAACAGCTAAGCAGACAGGTTCCTAATAGTTACTCATGGACATAATGGAATTTAACCATTTGAAGGAATTGGGGATGTTTACCCTAGAGAAGAGAAAATTAAGGAAGTCTATGTTGGTTATGTTCAATCATTTGAAGTACTGTCATGTAGACTTGTTCTGTTGGCCACAGAGAGAAGAACAGAAGCAATGCTACAAAGAGGCCAGTTAGGCTTGCTTTCAATAAGACAAACAAACTTAAC